AAGAAAGCAGAATCCAGGGACACAGGCGGTAGGGGGGTGAGGGCATGTACTGGGCAGTGGGAGTGGCTGGGGAGAGGTCAATGGGGAGAAAGAGGCATATGTAATACTTTAAACAATAAAGAATTTAAATTTTTTTAAAAAAGAAAAAAAACCGGACAGAAAAATGCTAAATTCAGAATCCGATTTTCAAGTGTCCAATAAAAACAGAAACTTGCTCACTGTGTGGCCCTGAGTGAGCTCTCTAACTAATGCTACAGTGTTGACTGATCCCAAAAACCCAGCTAACTGCAGATCAGACCATTTGGAAGTAGCATTAATCTGTCTGGTCAACTAACACCTTATCTTGGTTTACTTCAAGTCCTACTATGACTTCTAACTCTTTTAGAAACTGAGCACTCTGTGGTCACTGTAGCACTGTACAATCTCAGCACCTAGGAACCCTTAGCCAAGAGTCACCAGGTGGCCAAGGTCATAGGCAACTAAGATTTTACCTCTCTATAGAACAAAACTCACCACCTTCCTGTGAATGTGTTTCTGTACCAAGTTGCTAAGGTATTCAGCACCTGATTGGAAGTATAGAGTCAGTCATCTGCCACTGTGCTACACAGCCCCAGACTGTTGAGATTTTAAATTCTTGCTGCCATCAATGGCTCTTGGTTCAGAAACTGAGGCCTTAAGAAGGTAAGGAGTGTGTCCAAGATAACCCAATGCATCAGGAGCAGATGTGGAGCTGAAGTCCCAGCCACCTGAGCCCGAGTGTTCAGGTCTTTCTCCCTCTTTTCCATCCGGCCACCTTTGTAGAGGCCCAATCGCAGGACAGGCTACTTCTCTAGAGATTACATCGCTGGATTCTACCTGCTGGGAGTGGATGGCGTGGGCATGTGCACATTGATGAGTTTGTGTAAAATGCTAGTAAACAGATGCGGGAAGGTCTGAGGGTTCTCCCTGCTGATTACACTGCCAGGAGAGCAATTCTGGGCAGCCCCTTTTCCATTCATTTATCTTCCTTCTGGGATTGTTTTGCAGAGGTGGGATAGAAAACAAGTGAGCCTTGATGGGGAGAAATTAGTGCACTTTGGCTTACTGCAAAGGAACCTTGGCTTCTAAAGGTGTTACACATCATTGCAGGAGTCTTGTTTTACAAGCTAACATCCGACGAAAACAAACACCTATAGCCACTGCAGTGTTTTCTGCAGTAGTCCTTGGTCATTGCTATTCCATTAAGCAGAGACCAGGACATAGATAAGAGAGGCCATGGATGCCTGCTCTGCCTCCCTCAGGGGCAGGGGCAGTTTCCACTTGCTTATACTTGCTCATTGGGCTATCAGAGTAGGACATCAAGGTAGGGGAAGGAAAAAAAGGAAGTGAGTTCTAGAAGGCATCTATTATTTTCACATTCCCGTGGGCCTCCACGGCCATGCAGCATACTCTTCCTTAGGGGACCCATCCTGTTCTTCAGACCACGTGGCTGCAGCGAAGTAGACACCACACCCTGGCTTCAGTGGGCCACATGAGCTGGTTGGGTGTTGGTCTGGGGCTGTGACTATACCATCAAGAATAAGGTACTTTCTTTCTGTTGTGGCTTCTGTAAAAAGGATATAAACCTACAGCCCCAGCAACCACTAACTAGAGAGATCCTACATGAGAATGAAGTCAAGCCAGAGGAAAGCAGGGCTGAGCAATAGAGAGTCCAAGTCCCAAAACAACCTCTGAGTCTCTGGATCCAGCCACACCTGAAAGCCAATTCTACCTCTGATATTTACAGTGTCATTAGGTTACCTTAGAAACAATTAATCCAGTTTAAGTTAGATTTCTGTCACTTGAAACTCAAAAAGCACCAGCAAATACAGGAGAAATAAAATTGGGAGAAGAGACAATTAAATTTATGGATATAGTTATCTGGAAGCAGTTCAAGTTTGTCCCCTGGAAATAAAGCAAGGTGACACGTGGGAATCTGCTCCATTTTTCATATTAAGCTCACATCATCAGAACTGCAGCTCTGCCTAATTACTGTGATTAATCTCACCAAATTCTAAATATAAAATGAGTGTGCATTTTTCTGATGTTTGATGATACTGCAACCGTCATGAAGAGAAGAAATGAGCCATTACCGAATAAAGACAACTTTTAAGGGGAATCATTTTTTTTTCTGACCAAATGCAGTTATAACTGGGTAAAGGAGAAAAGGTCAGAGAGACAACTCGGATCTTACCTGGCATGGCATGGATGAGGTCCCCACACAGAACAAAGAATCTGGGCTTGGGGTTCAGCTTGTTGATGGCCTGAATGGCTTGCTCAGTTAGACGAATCTCCTGCCCCCACTCATCTCCACCATTGTCACAGTCCCCAGTGGTCCAGGCCTTCATCAGTCCAAATTGTGGGTCTGCACCCTGGATGAAGTAGAATGGGCCTTTCCATTCCTTTTCCTGTTCTTTAAGAAATGAAAGGAAAGAGGAGAAATATGATTAAGGCTGCCAGGGAAAGCATCCAGGTTACCGTGCAAGTAGATACAATATTTTTCTTAAATTAAGTAGGTCATTTTAATAAGCTGCTGTCCAAACATACCATTTTCCTGTCATAGTCTAGAGGATGTTGATTTATACTAATCATGCCTAGGACCTGGTGTCTCCCAAAGGCCAGGACAAACCACGTGGGCCTCCACGGCCATGCAACAAGCTATTTGTCTAAAAGCGAGCTGGCCAACATGGAGCTCAGAGGCACAACAGCCCACTACAGAGAGGATATTAATGTTCAATAATAGGTTTTTAATTAGAATTTAAAAAACCCAACTGAAAGCTGCCAGACGTATTATATTTAAATGACTAGGTGAAGTACTCTCAAATCTTTTAGCCAGGCTTAATGGCACAATTTGCACTGTTTCAGGGGATGTGACAGAATTTCAATTATAAAGCTTGGAGCTCAGAAGTTCTGGCTATCTGGTGGGCTATGCTGTGCCAGAAATGAAATGTTGAAATGAGTTAGTCGATGTGAAAAGAAAAAAAAAATCGATGCTAACATTTCAAAGGCAGCATGATGTGGGCATAAGTGAGGTGTGATGATGGGGGGGGGGGGGTGGAGAGAAAGGGGATTCTTGGAAAGGGAGCTAGGTCACATGCACTGAAATGATCAGGCTTGCCTTCCTTTTGGTTCCGCTAGCCCAAAGCTTCACCAGCCACAGGTATCTACCCCTTTCTGCCAAAGAACCATGCCAGTGCCTGCTTCTTCAGAGCTGGGGTGACCATTCATGGGCATGGAGGCCCTATGGACTTCAAACTTTGTTTTTTTGCCACAGGATCCTTTCTTCAACCAAAACCTCAGGTGGCAGACCGATGCTGTAAACACGGAGCTGTCCCTGTCCAACTGGGGTCTGGGGATGGCACAGTCCAAAGCCCCCTGATGTGCAGTCCTGGTATTTACCCTCCAAGGGAACTGAAGCCCGGAGCAGTGACCTGCCTCCCCAATGGCCCAGGAGCAGTAAGTGATAGGGCTAAAACTACCCCACTATCTTAAAACTGTTTTCTTTTTAAAAATAAATTAATGTATTTTCCATGTTAACCGAGTAAGTGGCATTTCTTTCAGAAGTCACGAAAATGTTGTAATTCCCAAAACTCCTTGGAATAATCTCACGTCTCCACGTTCGATTCATGCGTTTACTCAGTAAGCACTTACTGAGAGCCTAGTGTCCCAGGCCCCATTTGGGGTGCTGACCACACAGGGATGGACCAAGACAGGTGAGGTCTCTGCTCTCCTGGGCTTAGTTCTCATGGGGGAGGTAGACAAGGACATAAGCAGAGAATTGAGCTAGAAGGTACCAAGGACTATGTGAGGACGAAGAGGGAAGCGATGGCTACCGTATTTGCCGGCGTATAAGACGACTGGGCGTATAAGACGACCCCCTAACATTTCCACTCAAAATACAGAGTTTGTTATATACTCGCCGTATAAGACTACCCCCTCTTCCGCACACCTTCCACACACCAAATAAAAGGTAAAACAATATCAGATTTGATTTTAACATTTTAATTTATATTCAAATGCTTATGACATGCAGGAAAACTGTCACAAGGCTGTATGTAATCAAACATATACATAAAACAGTGCAAGTTTATTACCGGTAAACATACCGGTAATTCACTAAAGAAAACACACTCTATAGACTGGTACCGTAGATGCTTCTCAGGAACACAGGCAAGCAGCCCACAACCTAGAGGGACTGTCAATGATAGAAGAAAGAT